GAAGTTCAGACTGAGAAACTGTGCTGACCGTAACGTGTGTAGTGTCTGGACCAATCAAACATGATTTTTCATTTGATTTAACAAATCAGTTATTCATTAGATTAACAAATCGTCACAGTCCCCTCACCCAATAAACTGGGTGCCAGGATGTCTGCAAAGACACCAGGCCCCCCCTGGTCCCCATGGCAACCACAACACCTTTGCTAGACCAGATACATTTACGACCTAATGGCATGTTGAGAATGACCCCTCTCACTACATTTTCCATAGGAAAGACACCGTGCACAGTAGAAATGGACTCTTCTCTAATGAATCCATAGCAAAACCTTTCTTTGAATGAACACACATATCCTTCAGCTCATTGTGTATTTTGTCTTTGAGATTTTATACTGTTTTATGCAGGCTTATGATGGAACCACTCGTTCCGGTCATCTTACCTATATGTAATCCTACCATGTTTAGTATCTATGAATTCGCCTTCTGATGATCTAAACAAGATGTGAGCTACAACGCTCCAGGACACACTAAGTTCGTGCCAGGCTTCGGCCTTGACTTTTCCATTCACCAAGATTCTCTGCCTCAAACTGGTTCTTGTTCAACAACCAACTTCAGCAAAGATCAACTTGAACCTTTGGACTGCATCAAACCTCTCTTTCAGACAGCCGAGACGTGCAAGTATTCAAACTTAGTTTTATTAATTGATGCAACTAAGAATCTGATGTTTCCTTCAGGCTGTAAATCTGCTGAATATCAAATGGTTCCATAACTTCATATTTTTATTTTCTCTCCTCTTTGCTGCTTAAGCTTTAACCCTTTCCTATACCAACTGTATATATGTGTGTGTGTGTGTGTGTGTGTGTGTGTGTATGTGTATGTGTATGTGTATGTTAGACTAGTTTGAGTGTTTATGTAGTATGTTAGACTAGTTTAAGTGTTTATGTAGTTAATAAAGTCTTACTTGTGTCACACTTGACGTTGTTCATTGTTTTCTCATAACTGGAGTCCCTAATCATGCAGATTTATGCTACAGGCTCTGTGTAGAGTTGTACAGTAAGAAAGTTATTTCCCTTAACCAGGAAATTAACGTTCTTAGAATTGACAGACAGTTGACCCTGAGAGGTCAAGTAAATATCTACAGCGGATCTAAATATTTATAATTAACTATAACTAGTTATGATTAATTATTCATATTTCCCCATGAGCTGATTCGCTACACATGTTAACCCCAAATGAAGTTAACATTTCCTCTTTGCACCCTACACCGTATATGCATACAATATATAATCGCATACATTGCAATCATTTCAGTTAGAAATCACACCACCATCACATTTATTTTTGGTGGTACACTGTGTTTTTAATACAATCCCAGTAGTTTGTTTTCAAATTCAGAACTTTCCAGTCAAGCCACTAACTCCCGTCTGATGATTGACAGCTGAAAGAGGAAGTGGCTAGTGCAAAAGCAGGTCAGGAAGCGATGGAGATCCTGCATCAAAACCTCCCTGGAGATACGATGATGCACCTGTAAACAAACAACACTGCACACCACAGTCATGAGGACTTCTGAGAAAAAGAATGAGTGCTGTGAACGGCATATTTAATCTGTAAAACACACACACACACACACCTACCTTAATGCCATTGCATTAGATTGCAAAATATATCAAATATATCATTTAAAATATATATTTTTTAAGATGCCACTTGGTTTAATATTTTGCAATCTAATGCAAATAAAGATTTCCAGTAAAACAAAATAACTAAAGCAAAAGATTAAAAAAAATACTTTTATTAGAAAGAATGGAGGGATGGATGGATATTGTATGCTATTTTACTTCACAAGTCCTGATTTAACAATGCCTAGATATTTCTACTGGAAAATGACAAAGATATTGAGAAAGGAAATCACTTTTTGCAGTGTATGAGATACTGTACTTGAGTTTAGACAAAATGCAGAAAGTAGCGAGTGATTTCACTGTTGATTTGTCTTTGCCTATAATATAATAACGCCCATATAGCATTGTCAATTGACATTGTCACTCAAAATGAACGAGTTTAATTTTGGGGCCAGATGGTGTAGTTACCTGCGTTTACCTGCAAACTATCCTATGCCACCCAGCCCAACTGTGACACCTTGAATTTGAACTTGGTTCAAACCAAATGTGAAAACAATCTAATTTTGGGCCGTTTTATTGTTTAATCAGTGCTCCCGCTGGCCTTTCACGACATTTCCATCAGCATATCTGACAGCAGGGGGATAGATAGATAGATAGATAGATAGACATTTGTTTTGCATTTTGATATTATTTTCATGACAAATAAGCACATTTTCACACCAATTTCTCATTACCATAATGCATCCAGAGTTCTTATTTTTGAGTTACTTTTTTTTTTGGTGCCAATTTGCCATTATTCTCAATGCTTTTGAGGCTTAAAACTTAAAAAAATAAAGTAGAAATGTTGTCTTGGCAACTAAATGAAAATAAGACTTAAGTACTAAAATTACTAACACAGAAAAATATATAGAATTTGTTGAAAAAAAAACTAATAAAAAAATGTCAACCACAACATTTCTCAAAACTAAAATTAAAACGGAATATATAAAAATAAAAGCTTATAATAGTATATAAATAATACTGAAATAACATTGAGTGTAAAAATAAATTTGTTTAATGTCATTATTCTTTGTTATTTTAACATTTTCAATATTCTAATCAGCATGTATATTTGATATTTATTTGGCATTGCCACCAGGCAAGATTATATTATTTCTAATATTAAAAAGTTATATTAAGGTTCGTATATTGTCCCAGAAAAATGAATCCATTTAAAAAATTTTTTTTTTTTTTTCAGATATTGTGTAATCTTTTAAATGACTTTCATAATAGAGTGTTAAATCTGCATCAGTTAATCAAATAATATAATGGTTATTCTCAATGGTGATTCTCATTCTCACTAGATTAGATTTAAATTTTTTGCTTGTCTAATTTTCTTTATGTAAAATGCATTGTTTAGTTTTTCAGTTGATCTTAGGGTCAGAATGTGTCTCTGATGTGAGATCACCTCATCTACTCTCTAATAAATGCTGGGTTGAATATAACCCAGCGCTGGGTTAAAAAGGGACAAACCCAGCTATTGGGTTGTTTTGACCCAGCGCTGGGTTATATTTAACCCAGCATTTTTTAGAGTGTACACTCAGAGTTGTGCCGGGTTTGTCGTCATCAGCGGAGGCGGAGACTCCTGTGACCCCTCCAACCTATCAGAGCCACAGAAACACAGAGCACGGATGAACCGGTCAGATGGAATTTCCTGACCTCAAGCACAAAACACCACAGAATATCTATAGGTAGACGCTCCGGTTTGTGCTCACTGTCAACACACGCTGAACGTTTCTGGTTTAAACGAGAATAACACACAGCGTATTTACTCAAGCTGCCCACACACAGCTGTTCTGAGGACATTCAAGGGCCCTCGCTTTCTCGTAGAGCTTAACTGTGAGGGATTCAATGATGTAACAGTAACACAATATCAGAAACTGGAGGCCAAATCATTTTAAATGTGGTCAGTGTTGAGGTCAAGGGTTGAAGACACACAAACGTGTTACATGCTTTTCATTTGACTGATATTCACTTCTATTTGCATACGAGACATTTATAACATTTCGGTTTATACATTTCCCTCCGGTTTCACAGACAAGGCTTAAGCCTAGTCCCAGACTAAAATGTAATTCTGTAAAGTTAAGCTAGTTAAGCTTCACGACATGGCGGCAGCGACGGCGGTGGCAACAATACTACAGCGAGAATAAAAGTTACACCTTCTTTCTTTGCGTGAACATTTGGGCGGCGTTATGCAAATCTTCCCACATAGTGATGTAGGTATGTGGGGGCGTGTTAGAACGAGGCGTTTTAGGGGGGCGTGGCTGACTCTTAACTTTTATAAAGAATATCTCTTTGGATTTGAGACTTTAGTCTTTGCAACTTTCCAGATCTTCTTTATGCACCAAGAGCTTGTAACACTCCAAAGAGAAAAGAAAAATTTAAATCGCATCAGATGACCCCTTTAAAATTTACTCATTTTTATAGATTGTTAATATTTATTCTTTATATATTACAGTTCTACAGCGCTAGGGCATAATACATAAACATTGCAATAATTAAAATCTATATTAATTTCGAATAATATTTTAGCAATAGGATAGAAATAGATATTTATTTAACATTTTATGCAATCTATGTGTATTCAGTGATTTATTTGATTCAGAACAGGGTTATTAAAGTTGAATAAAAATGAAAACCATTAAAAAAATCGTTACTTGAAATACAATAAAAAGTGTTTTTTTTTTCCTCAAAGTTTATTTCAGCTAGTGGCCAAGCCAAAGTTTCAAATTGAAACTCAAATAACTACAATAAAACTGAAATAAAAGTTAATAGAAACAATAGAGACATATTTTTTAAAAATGTCAAAAACAACAAAATTATTAAGATTTCAACTAAAATGAAAAATGATAATAATACTAACACCAATAACACTAAAATATAACTAACAATGAAATACCACTTATAAGCTTGCCCTAAAGTTGTTAAGGCATGTTTTGTCTAAAAATAAAAATACATGAACTAAACAGACCACTCACAAGCCAACATCACAGCTTACATCCCATCAGTCTCACTCAACAGGATTTATTTTTAACTTTTTGTAGAATATAAAATGCAATCAAGTCATAAAGATGTCAAACGGGTTTTAGTCATTGTGTTTTTCCGCCATCTAGTGTTTATGAAGAGTATTGCAGTCGAAACTTTTTTGACTTTTCGAGTGTAATCAATCATATACGCAAATTAACTACTAACTGATATTTTGGCCATTACTTGTTGTATATTACTTAGTTTGTAAGAAGGAAAGCTTTCATGCTGGAAATTTAGTTTTTTTGTATCATCCTCTCTTGGCTGAAACTTCCACTGGTTTCCTAGCAACCGCTGCAGACACGTGCACTGGCCTGACGACAGACACCACACACAGCTTGTGTCCAGCACGTGTGTGGGCTTGTTATGGAGGAGAGGTGAGGGCCATCTGATACTTTATCAACTTTGCAAATGTGAATACCGTGTCTAATGTTCAGAATGACTGTTTCTGGTTTAGACTGGAGAACTATGAGAGTTGTGCCAGAAGAATTCAGGCGTACTGGAGATGTTTCAGGGACAGACGGCTCTTCAGGCTCCTGATGAACACTGTGCGCTCAGCGGTAAGCTCTTATAACAATGTCTCTCCGGCAGAATTTTGTGTGTGAATTATTACAATGTTATTACCTTATTATATTTCACAAATGATTTAAAAAGAGAAAGTAACACATTGAACTGAACAAAACATTTTGAAGTAGAAAAAAATGAAATAGCATGTACTTCAACCCAAAAGGCATATATATATATTTGCTAAAATATATTTCAACATGTATTTATGTTAATAAATGTATTTTTTCTTTTCTATATATTTATTAAATATTTATAACTTTTATTTCAACCCAAGAAAATGCAATCACATATAGACAACAAATAAAGTATTTTTTTTAACGTGTGAACATCATATAACGCATTTAAATAAGAAAATTACAATATTATATGTATAATAAATGACTATTATTATAATTTTTTTTTCTTTCTTGACCCTGAAATACATTTTGAAATTTTGAAAATGTGAAAGTTAAAACTAAATATATATTCATTTTCGATTAGAACATATATTTAGCATATTTAAAATATATTTTGGCCATTTATTTATTTATTGCTGTTTGGGAATAATCTTTGTTATATTTACAACTTCGAAACCTCGTAATGTTGGTTATTTTCACCAGAAAGCACTACTTACTCGGACCCCAACTTCAACTGTTTTACTGTAAATCAATACAGTTTATTTATTAGATAAGAGGTTGATTGTTCTGTAACATTCCTGTCAGTACTTTCATTGGACTAAATTTGATCGTGTGTGTGTGTGTCTCTCTGTGTGTGTGTCTGTGTGTGTGTGTTTGTGTGTGTCTGTGTGTGTGTCTCTGTGTATGTGTGTGTGTCTGTGTGTGTCTGTGTGTGTGTCTCTGTGTATGTGTGTGTGTCTGTGTGTGTCTGTGTGTGTGTCTCTGTGTATGTGTGTGTGTCTGTGTGTGTCTGTGTGTGTGTCTCTGTGTATGTGTGTGTGTCTGTGTGTGTCTGTGTGTGTGTCTCTGTGTATGTGTGTGTGTCTGTGTGTGTCTGTGTGTGTGTCTCTGTGTATGTGTGTGTGTCTGTGTGTGTCTGTGTGTGTGTCTGTGTGAGTGTGTGCGTGTCTGTGTGAGCGTGTGCGTGTCTGTGTGAGCGTGTGCGTGTCTGTGTGAGCGTGAGCGTGTCTGTGTGAGCGTGAGCGTGTCTGTGTGAGCGTGTCTGTGTGAGTGTGTGTGTGTCTGTGTGTCTGTGTGAGTGTGTCTGTGTGTCTGTGTGAGTGTGTCTGTGTGAGTGTGTGCGTGTCTGTGTGAGTGCGTGCGTGTCTGTGTGAGCGTGTGAGTTTCTGTGTGAGTGTGTGCGTGTCTGTGTGAGTGTGTCTGTGTGAGTGTGTGTGTGTCTGTGTGTGTGTGTAGTGTCTGGCATCAGCAGTTCTGCGTCAGCTCAGTCCCAGAGAAGCTGAACTGCTGAAAGACCCCAGTCTGAAGTGCAAGATCAGATTCAGGTATGAACTTCATATAAAACATCATCAAGCAGCATTATAAGGTGGACCAGAAGCTGTCTTATGCAATAAAAGCCCTGCTTCAATCTTAACCCACTCTGAAAAAGATTTACTGGAACAAAACATGTGACAACTAGCCCCCGTCTCCCTGATATATTAACTTTTGTTCAGGTTTGCAGGTCCTCAGTTTCCACCTTCACTTGTCTTCAAGATTTTCCACATTGGAGGAGGAGGACACTATCTGTCTGGCAAAAAAGTCTTTTCTCCCTCCAACCAGGTCATGAATGCTGGTCCAGTGTTATTTCAGCATCACTGCAATATTAGTATAGTTTTTATTAATATTTTCAATTAGTTTTTATTTTGTTATTTTACATTTTCATTTTGAGTGAGTTAAAAATTGTAATCATTTTGTTGTGTTTTTATCATTTTTGATTGTTGTTTTTTTGTCAAGTTTTTATTTATTTATTTATTTTATTTCAGTTTTAGTTTTAGTTATTTATCAAGTTAAGCTAAATTAACATGAGAAATGTTGCCCTGGCAACTAGTAAAAAAAAAAAAAAAAAGTATATTTAAATTTTTCGTTGTTGTTGTTGTTATCGTTATTTTATTTCAAGTGACATTTTATTTATTTATTTTATTTGTTTTTTACTTTTAGTTTTAACTATATAATCCTGTACTGGTCTTGGATCTGCTTTATTCTGATGCATCCTAGTTTCAGTTTTAGTTTTAGTTATTATCAAGTTGACTAAATTAAAATGAGAAATGCTAGTTTAAAAAAAATATTTAAATAGTTATATTTAAATATTTTTCCAGTTAATTTACAGATTTTATCATAATTTTTTTATGGTCCAAGACCATTACTTCCCCATTACTTTTACCATTTATTTTATTTTTATTTTTGTATAGTCTATAATCTATCTATAATCTATAATATTTTTTTGTATAATCTCTAATCCTGTGCTGGTCTCAGATCATATCAGTTTATTTTTATACATCCTAGTTTTTGCAGAAATAAAGAACGGTTTACTATGAGAGCAAAAAATGCATGCATTTTAATGACTGCACTATGTATGTCTGCATCAGCAGGCCACAGCAGACACCTGCAGAATGATGGGAAACAGAGCATTTATGGATCTCATTTCAATGGATGAGTTTCACAGAGCCGCCATTGAACCGCAAGATGTGATTTGCATGAGAGACTATATGCAGGTGGATGAAAAACACCCTTCAGGCTATATTCACAGCCCAATTCTGTGAAGCAGTCATGCTGTTGTGTTGCTCGTTCACCCTTTTCTCCCACTCAGTATTCCAGCCACCTGGATGAGCTTCCAGCATGTGTAGGAGGAAGGGAAAACGGATGGAGGTTCCTGTCTCTGAAGGTGCTGTCCCGGGACGTCATGCTCAGAGAGGGTGTGAAGCCAGGAACAAGAGACAGGTTGAAGACGGTATTGCCGTTTAGCAGTCTCGCCCGCTCTCATTTTGCTGGACAGCAGCTCTCACACAGGTATTCAGTTTCAGCTTGTATTCTAGTCTCTAACAAAAGTCTCACTCTTGGACCCCAGAAACAAACCAAATGCCAAAGTTAAAGAATAATATAAATAAAAAATGTGCTTAAAGGAATAGTTCACCCCAAAAAATGACAATTTGCTGAATTTTACTCATCCTCGTTCCAAGATGTAGATGAGTTTGTTTCTTCATCAGATTTGGAGACATGTAGCATTGCATCAGTGTCTCACCAATGGATGCTCTGCAGTGAATGGGTGCCGTCAGAATGAGAGTCCAAACAGCTGATAAAAACATCACAATAATCCACACCTCTCCAGTCCATCAATGTAGTGATGCTACATTTCTTCAAATAAAGAAATAAACTCATCTACATCTCAGATGGGCACATTTTTGGGTGAACTATTCCTTTAACATTATTCTGATGTGTCTTTCTCACATTACAGAGGTTCCCGGGTCTCTACACGACAATCTGCCCGTGCTCAAAACACTGCGGCTCGCAAGAGACGCCTCTACGGCCTGAGTGAGGCTGAAAGAGTATGCTTCATTTTTATAATACTTTTAAGATGTAGTTTTTGCATCTGTCTAAACATATAGTCTTTGGTTTCCCATCACTTTTAATGCCTACTGTAGAAAAAAAGTAACCTCAACACTAGGCTAAATAGACCAAAAAGTTACTTTACAATAAGGTTCCATTTGTTAACATGAGTTAACTACATTAGATAACATTAATGAAAAAATACTCCTTTTGCATTTATTAATCTTAGTTCATTTCAACATTAATATATTTTAAAAAGTTGTAATATATTATAATATTATTTAATAGACTTGAGCTAACATGAACTAACAGTTGCATTTTTGTTAACTAACACAAAAAAAGATGAATAAACATCGTAAGTAACAAACGGTTTGTTCATTGTTAGTTAGTGTTAGTTAATCCATTTACTACTGTTAACATATGGAACCTTATTGTAAAGTGTTACCGATATATATCTAAAATATACAATGGTGACAGTTGAGAGGAACACAAACTAGGTGACAGAAATGGAGAAAAAATAGATTAGAAAAATGACGTTTATGAAATTATTGAAATTATGTGAATTTGCTCTGGGACCAAATACAGTTTGCTGAGAAAGTGGACATCAAGATCGTTCTGCCATCAGTCGAGACGGAAGACTACAACTCATCCGAGTCTGAATGGGAGGAAGAGGCTGAGAAACTGTGCAACTGGTCAAAACAACTGAACATAGATGCTTTAGAAACGCCTGCATTCATTCAGATGGAGAAATAACATTTTACACTAGGAGATGCACTGATTTAGGTTTGATTTTCAGTAAATACTACAACCTAGTGCATTATTCTGAGATGCTTTCATTGAAAATTAATGTTACCTGTTCAACTGGTCAAAACCAACTGGATATCGATGCTGTTGATACACCTGAGCTCGTGTAAATGGAGAAACAATGTTTTATAGTTGTAGAGGTCCGGATTAATGTCAACACATGGTGACAGTATTTGAACATTTTGGCTCTTGCTTTATCCCACTTCTCACACATGCACTCTCTAAAGACTGTACTGTACAGTAGTAATTTTCTGCACATTTTTATTTCTCATGAAATATATACACCACGTGCTACGAGTTGCATCCAAGCATGACCAGAAGATGCATTGCATCATTCAAACCTTACGCACAACTGTTTGTGTGTTGCCTTAATTTCCAGACTCTCATCTTGTTGCAGTCTTTTGCAAATTAAAGGAACATGCACGTCCGTCAATAATCTGTTCATATTTTTTAGTGTCATATTTGTAAGTCTTTCTGCCTCCATTTTTATCTATTTGCATGCATGCACACCTGCTAAACATGAAACAAAAATCCTCATGCAAGGAGAAAATTAAATAATGAACCTGTTTTCACTAAATATGGGATAAAACTAAAAAATGCCAGTTTTTCAGTTGTGATAATGTATTAAATGAACTACTGTGATGCTCATGTTTAAAATTTTAATATTTTATATAATACTTTGTGGGCATGAAAACATAGAATGGCCCAACCAGTGGGCACTTTTAAGGGCCAAAACAATGAAAACATACATCTTTAATGTTAATACTTCAGTAAATGAAGTTTAAACAAGTGAGATAAAAAGATGCTTATGGAGTTGGAATTTCTATTGAAAAATTGCAACATGCATGCATGATCAAAAAACTATTAAATCTGAAACAAAAAAGCCTCTTGCAAGGACAAAAAAAAAAGTATTTTATTTAAAATAATGTGACCCTGGCTGGACCACAAAACCAGTCATAAGTAGCACTGGTATTTTTGTAGCAATAGATAACAATAGCCTACATAGTATGGGCCAAAATTTTAGATTTTTCTTTTATGCCAAAAATCATTAGGATATTAAGTAAAGATCATGTTCCATGAAGATATTTTGTACATTTCCTACTGTAAATATAGTAAAACTTAATTTTTGATTAGTAATATGCATTGCTAAGAACTTCATTTGAACAACTTTAAAGATGATTTTCTCAATATTTAGATTTTTTTGCACCCTGATTCCAGATTTTCTAATAGTTGTATCTCAGCCAAATATTGTTCTATCCTAACAAACCATACATCAATGGAAAGCTTAGCTTTCAGCTTATGTATAAATCTGATTTTATGTATAAATTGATCCTTATGGCTGGTTTTGTGGTCCAGAGTCACATTTTGATTTGGGTTTAGAGATAGGAAGAATGTCTAAAAAAGAAAAGAAAGAAAGAAAAAAAAACACCTGGGATGTTTCATAATAAATTGCCAGTCTTTCGGTTTGGATGTTGTGACAGATGAACAGATTTGATTTCCATCGCTAAAATTTGTGCACTAAATATTTTATCTAAGACAGGTGATGTGGGCATGAAAATGCTGTGCCAACCAGTGGGCGCTTTTAAGGGCCAAACAATGAAAACACATCTTTGATATTAACAATTAGGCCAATGATGTTTAAACAGTGCGTTAAAAGCATGCTTATGCGTTTGGCACGATCATTTTCGCTGTCGCTCGCCGGTAGCTTCGCGTTCTCCGGGTAAATGTTGTTCACCGGCCTTCCGCGTTTTCCTGCGGCTCTGCGCAGTGACGTGTCGCGCTGTGGCGGAGCAGCGCGTCTGTAGCGCGTCTGTCTGCGGAGCTCCGCCCTCCCTGCGCACTCCGCGGCCCGCCCAGCGCCCGCTAACTCCCGCTCCAGCCCTGCCCGAGTCTGGGGGAATCCGACGGCCTGCCTGCCTGCCTGGGGAAAATCTGGAGGCCGCCCCGCGCTTCGATCTACGGTAAGCGCGCCGATACCGACGAACCGGACCGCGCGGGTTTCATCCCGCCCGCTCGTTGCACACGCGCGTCAGGCTTATGCGCGGTTATTGCACGTTTTGTTGCATTGTGTTGCGCGTCGCGGCTGGAGACGCGAGGCCTCGGATTGGCCGCCGGGCCCCGGGCCTTACGCAGGCCGCAATCAGGCCTGAAGCGCTGGGGGGGTGGGGGTTATTGTTTATAAATGCCCCTGCATGCACGCGACACCAAACGCCCCTTTGTTTTTAAAGCAAAGCTCGCGCGAATGCATGCGTGGGAATCAAACGCGCGATGTGTTATGGCTCAAAATGGCGCGCAGGGCAGGCAGGTTTTGTTTGCAGTGGAAGAGGGAAATTATGGTCACAAGGCGCCATGATTATGTCCGGTTTCAGGTGCTGAAATACGAGGAAACCTTCAGCGCGCGGGGGGGTGGGAAGCTTCGGCGCGCGCTGCTGCTGCTGCACGCATTCTTCTCAAATGCATGAAGCTTCGAGTGTTTCCTGACATGCACGAAGCGTTTAATGCATTTTGCGTTGCGTTTAAAGACGCGTTGCATCATTTTATTAAATGCACAACCGTTTATTGGTGCTCATTTTTAATTTCCAGTCGCTCTTCTTGTCGCAGTCATTTGCAAATTAAAGGGACATGCACGTCCGTCAATAATCTGTTCATATTTATTATTAGTGTTATGTTCATAAGTCTGTCTGTCTGTTCGCATGCACGCTTGTCTGTTCAAATCTATTGCATGTTTACATTATGACAACTAGTTCTTGAAGCCTGTCGCATTGTATGATCCTCCCAGTTCTTGTGCTATAAAGGCTCCATTCTGTGTTTACTTTTTATGAAGGTAATTCTGCTATAAATGATTGTTTAACTCTTTTATTCTCTTTTTGTCATAAATGGTCTCTATCAGACATTCTGGATGAATTGTGTGTGTTGTTGTGATAGTTGTGCCGTGGCCAATGAAGAATAAAGACGATGGATGAGGAGGTGACCAGGCTTGCTCTCCGTTCCCAAGAGCCAAAGATTATACTGCATGGCTCAGGTAATAAAGAAACCGTGATGTATGCTCACTCACTCATTTGTATGTCTGGGACACTTAATGCCAATGTTGTGTTATTATCATTCTGGAGAGCATTTGATTGGACAAACCCGTATTTTTGATTACAGATGAGAGAGAATGTAAATATTGAATTGATATTTTTATTATGAAACATTTCTTACATTTTCAGGAATATTTCAGGAATGTGAATATGAATAATCATTTTAAATACAAATAATTTTCTTTAATAATGTTGAATAATCATTTTATTTATATATATATATATATATATATATATATATATTCCAGACTCTCATCTTGTTGCAGTCTTTTGCAAATTAAAGGAACATGCACGTCCGTCAATAATCTGTTCATATTTTTTAGTGTCATATTTGTAAGTCTTTCTGCCTCCATTTTTATCTATTTGCATGCATGCACACCTGCTAAACATGAAACAAAAATCCTCATGCAAGGAGAAAATTAAATAATGAACCTGTTTTCACTAAATATGGGATAAAACTAAAAAATGCCAGTTTTTCAGTTGTGATAATGTATTAAATTAACTACTGTGATGCTCATGTTTAAAATTTTAATATTTTATATAATACTTTGTGGGCATGAAAACATAGAATGGCCCAACCAGTGGGCACTTTTAAGGGCCAAAACAATGAAAACATACATCTTTAATGTTAATACTTCAGTAAATGAAGTTTAAACAAGTGAGATAAAAAGATGCTTATGGAGTTGGAATTTCTATTGAAAAATTGCAACATGCATGCATGATCAAAAAACTATTAAATCTGAAACAAAAAAGCCTCTTGCAAGGACAAAAAAAAAAGTATTTTATTTAAAATAATGTGACCCTGGCTGGACCACAAAACCAGTCATAAGTAGCACGGGTATTTTTGTAGCAATAGATAACAATAGCCTACATAGTATGGGCCAAAATTTTAGATTTTTCTTTTATGCCAAAAATCATTAGGATATTAAGTAAAGATCATGTTCCATGAAGATATTTTGTACATTTCCTACTGTAAATATAGTAAAACTTAATGTTTGATTAGTAATATGCGCATTGCTGAACTTCATTTGAACAACTTTAAAGATGATTTTCTCAATATTTAGATTTTTTTGCACCCTCAGATTCCAGATTTTCAAATAGTTGTATCTCAGCCAAATATTGTTCTATCCTAACAAACCATACATCAATGGAAAGCTTAGCTTTCAGCTTATGTATAAATCTGATTTTATGTATAAATTGATCCTTATGGCTGGTTTTGTGGTCCAGAGTCACATTTTGATTTGGGTTTAGAGATAGGAAGAATGTCTAAAAAAGAAAAGAAAGAAAGAAAAAAAAACACCTGGGATGTTTCATAATAAATTGCCAGTCTTTCGGTTTGGATGTTGTGACAGATGAACAGATTTGATTTCCATCGCTAAAATTTGTGCACTAAATATTTTATCTAAGACAGGTGATGTGGGCATGAAAATGCTGTGCCAACCAGTGGGCGCTTTTAAGGGCCAAACAATGAAAACACATCTTTGATATTAACAATTAGGCCAATGATGTTTAAACAGTGCGTTAAAAGCATGCTTATGCGTTTGGCACGATCATTTTCGCTGTCGCTCGCCGGTAGCTTCGCGTTCTCCGGGTAAATGTTGTTCACCGGCCTTCCGCGTTTTCCTGCGGCTCTGCGCAGTGACGTGTCGCGCTGTGGCGGAGCAGCGCGTCTGTAGCGCGTCTGTCTGCGGAGCTCCGCCCTCCCTGCGCACTCCGCGGCCCGCCCAGCGCCCGCTAACTCCCGCTCCAGCCCTGCCCGAGTCTGGGGGAATCCGACGGCCTGCCTGCCTGCCTGGGGAAAATCTGGAGGCCGCCCCGCGCTTCGATCTACGGTAAGCGCGCCGATACCGACGAACCGGACCGCGCGGGTTTCATCCCGCCCGCTCGTTGCACACGCGCGTCAGGCTTATGCGCGGTTATTGCACGTTTTGTTGCATTGTGTTGCGCGTCGCGGCTGGAGACGCGAGGCCTCGGATTGGCCGCCGGGCCCCGGGCCTTACGCAGGCCGCAATCAGGCCTGAAGCGCTGGGGGGGTGGGGGTTATTGTTTATAAATGCCCCTGCATGCACGCGACACCAAACGCCCCTTTGTTTTTAAAGCAAAGCTCGCGCGAATGCATGCGTGGGAATCAAACGCGCGATGTGTTATGGCTCAAAATGGCGCGCAGGGCAGGCAGGTTTTGTTTTCAGTGGAAGAGGGAAATTATGGTCACAAGGCGCCATGATTATGTCCGGTTTCAGGTGCTGAAATACGAGGAAACCTTCAGCGCGCGGGGGGGTGGGAAGCTTCGGCGCGCGCTGCTGCTGCTGCACGCATTCTTCTCAAATGCATGAAGCTTCGAGTGTTTCCTGACATGCACGAAGCGTTTAATGCATTTTGCGTTGCGTTTAAAGACGCGTTGCATCATTTTATTAAATGCACAACCGTTTATTGGTGCTCATTTTTAATTTCCAGTCGCTCTTCTTGTCGCAGTCATTTGCAAATTAAAGGGACATGCACGTCCGTCAATAATCTGTTCATATTTATTATTAGTGTTATGTTCATAAGTCTGTCTGTCTGTTCGCATGCACGCTTGTCTGTTCAAATCTATTGCATGTTTACATTATGACAACTAGTTCTTGAAGCCTGTCGCATTGTATGATCCTCCCAGTTCTTGTGCTATAAAGGCTCCATTCTGTGTTTACTTTTTATGAAGGTAATTCTGCTATAAATGATTGTTTAACTCTTTTATTCTCTTTTTGTCATAAATGGTCTCTATCAGACATTCTGGATGAATTGTGTGTGTTGTTGTGATAGTTGTGCCGTGGCCAATGAAGAATAAAGACGATGGATGAGGAGGTGACCAGGCTTGCTCTCCGTTCCCAAGAGCCAAAGATTATACTGCATGGCTCAGGTAATAAAGAAACCGTGATGTATGCTCACTCACTCATTTGTATGTCTGGGACACTTAATGCCAATGTTGTGTTATTATCATTCTGGAGAGCATTTGATTGGACAAACCCGTATTTTTGATTACAGATGAGAGAGAATGTAAATATTGAATTGATATTTTTATTATGAAACATTTCTTACATTTTCAGGAATATTTCAGGAATGTGAATATGAATAATCATTTTAAATACAAATAATTTTCTTTAATAATGTTGAATAATCATTTTATTTATATATATATATATATATATATATATATATAT